CCTACACTCCATATGAGACAATGAAGGGGAGCCACGTCCTGCCCCGGGTACCCTCCCGGGGAACCCAGTGGGATGTGACCCCATCCAAAAGGTGTCCCCCCCCCAAAGCCACCACCACGCTCTCCCCCCATGGGGAAGAAGAGGCCGGGGCCCAGGGAGGGCAATCAGCCAGGAAAGGCTTCTCCTCGGGTGGCCACTCACAATCCTGCCCCCCCATATTTAGCAAACACGGGCTCCTTCTCTCCCCACCCACCCTCCTGCTCCTCCCGTGGCCATAAACACCCCGGGGTGTGTGGGTGCCACCTTGTCCCCTCGCTGCTGCGGTGACAGGAAGGTGAGAAAAGGGCACAAAGCCCCCAGACAGGACCATTTCTTGCTGGATTGCACCAGCAAAGCGCTCCCCGGGCGGCAGGGGAGCACCGGGAGCATCCTTTCCAAAGCTCCATCCCCCTGAGGTGCCAGAGGATGGATTTGGCCCCACTTTTCGGGCTCTAAATTTGGCTGAAGGGCAGCCCTGGCAGCAGGGATGTGCTCCCACGCCAGGCACATGCAGCATCCTGCCTGGTTTTCCCCAAAAACAGGGGCGAGGGGCTCTCAGCGTTCCCCATGCGGTTGGATTCGGGTGATGCTTTCATCCAAACCCAGTTCCCCTGGGGTCAGGGGGTTGGGGGGGGGGCTCAACCATGCAGATCCCCCCCGGATTTTTCGGAGCAGGAGAAGGGCAGGCGGAGGTTGCAGCTCCCCTCCCTGTGTGTCGCAAACAGGCGGTGGCACACCGCTGCCTTGCCCCCGTCACGGTGACACCAGCCCCATCAGCCTGACTCCAAACAAACGCTTATTATTTGGAGGGAGTTTGGGGACGGGCATGCAAAGCCACCCCCCAACCCTGGCGTCACAGCTGATGACACCCACCCAGCCCAGAGGCAAAATGCCACCCAAAGCCACCACCTCGAGCAGTTTTTGGGAAGCCACAGCCGCCACCGGGGTTTCAACTCAAGCCAAGTCCTCCCTCCCTCTGTCCCCCTGCCAGCTCCTCATGGAGGAGATGGGGGACAGCATGATCAGTCCCCCCCCCATCACCTTTCTCCCAGCCTGGAGACATGAAGGCTGCCTGTCGTCAGAGTCTCAGCATTTAATTTTAATTCCTGAGGTGGGGGGGGCTTTGATACGTGGGGAAAAAGGCTTTGTGGCCATCTCTGCCTCCTAAAGCCTACCTGGGGTGAAAACATCTTTACCCACCTAAACGCTGATCCTGTTTCAAGCAGCAAAGCTAATCCTCTGTTCCCTTCCTAAGCACATTATTTAGCCCAGATCCTGCCCAGCCCAACAGCCACACTCGTTGGTGCCCACCCGAAGGGCTCCAGCAAAAGGGACCTTGTCCTTTCTGCTGTGGAAATTCGGGAGGTCCCCTCAGGTTTTGGGGGATGGCAGCCTCCCCGAGTGCCTGGGTGGATGCGAGGGACACAGGATGGCCTGGAGGTTCCTCCACGCTGCAGGCACTCCACTTTCTGGAGGGGCAGCCCCAGCCCCTCTCTTCCAGGCTGTGGTGTCCATGTCACCCCCTACAAGATAAGTCCATGCCAAGTGGCCATTGTCTCTAGGAAATCAGTTTTCAGGCTCAAAGAGGCAGTCGCTATCCTCAAGGACCGTATCCGTCCCCTCTTGGAGCCCATAATAGAGGTCGTCTTCCTTCCTGGTGCCTTTGCAGGGGGAACCGGGGTGCTGTCCCCCCGCCGGGGAGCTGGTCGGGGTGGAACCAGAGCGAGCAGCAGATGGTGGGGATCGGACCCGTGGCACGGGGCTGCTGGGCACGGAGCCCTCCAGCGATGGCGTGTCCATGTCCTCCAGGAGGGATGCCAGCGGCGCATCCCCCCGGGCTGGCCGGGAGGGGCTGTGGGAACAGGGAGGGCAGGGGGCAGCACAGGGGTTACACTAAACAGGGGGTTGGAGCTGGAGTTTCCCCCAGGGACGGTGGCTGCTGGGCTCAGAGTTGCTCAGCCAGTGTCCCAGTATCACCAGTCCCCTGCTGGGTGGCTGGGGTGACTTGGGAGGGTCCTATCTCAGCCCCCGGTGCCACCCTGGGACCCCACGGTGCCTGCCTTTATGGGGACAACCTGCCTGCCAGGTGTCTTCTCCTGCCTGTGGGACAGAGTGGCTGCCCTGGGATGCTGTGCCTGCATCCCGGGAGAGAGCAGAGGACCCCATCCCAGGTGGAGCTGCATTTTGGCACAGGGGGTGCCCATGTCCTGCACCCTGAGACTGCACAGTGACCCTCATCACCTGCAGAGCACTTTTGGGACCTCCTGGAGCCATGCACGGGCATCATACTGGTGTCTGGTTTGAGGGACACATACTGAGTGCCTCATTTCTATCAAAGTCTGACCAGGAACTTGGGATTTATGCGGGTGAGGGACATCGTTCGTATTTATAAAATGAAATAAAAGCAAGATGCAAATCACAACCAAAGGCAACCCAGATTTCTTATTGGTTTTATGCTGGTAAATCATTTGGTACTGAGAGACCCCCTGGGCTGAGCCACCCTCCGGGCTCCAGCGGAGCTGGGGGTTGGGGCCATGCAAGCGGCAAAGACCCCCTCTACCTCCTCTGCCTCCCCCCACATTGGGGGGGTCTGACCCCCTCTGGTTTCACCCTGAATCCTGCCAGTGCCACCCCAACCCCATGGGCATCACCTACCTGTTTGCTGCTCCTTCCAGCCGAGGTGCTGTCTCTCGGGGGGGGTCCCCGGCACCCCCCAGCTCCCGGTGAACCTCTGCTTTCGCCTGCAGGGCCGGCTGGGAGCAGCTGCGGGGTCTGGGCTGGGGGGTGGGTGGGAGCTGCTCCAAGCCCACCTCCTGCCTCTGGATCTGCTCATAGGACGGCAGGCTTTTCTCGTAGGTGCTGGTGGCCTCTTGGCTGGGACAGGGTACAGTCAAGCTGTGGGAGAAGGAGGAACGGGGTGCTGAGCAGGACCTGGACCCCCGTGGAGCCAGGAGATGCTGAGGGACATGCACACAGGACTCCATCAGGTGCTTTAGAGGCCACACCACTGCCCACGCCAGCAGGTCCTTGCAGAGGGATGCCCGCAGGAACGCAGCTGGATGCTTTCCACCCCCCAGCATCTCTCCAGCTCCAGCCCTGGAGAGGCTTCAGCCAGCCTTTGCCTCCCCCACCCAGGGGCTGGTCATGTTTTCCTGCAATAGGTGTATTTGTCCCCGGTGCCAGTGTGCCCGGACACTGCCCTTGTCCCCGGGGGCACGCAGATAACCCTGTGTACAGATGAAACCACCCTCCAAGAGGAAAACGGCCACCGGGGCCGGGCGCTGGGACCTACCGGGTGTCCCTCTCCGGCAGCACGATGGGTTTGTGGTCCAGGAACCTCTCGGCCTCAAGGTCTACAGGGATGAACGTTATCTGGGGGGAAAAGAAACACAGAGCCCGGGGGGCTGCACTGGGCATCACGGGGACCCTCAGCCCTCCTTAGTGGTAAAAAGGCTGGAGCATCCCTTCAGCTGGGATTTTGGTCTTTCCCAGCACATTTGGATGTCTTGCTTGGAAATGAGTTTTTGGGGGGAAATCAATAAGGGATTGAATGAACCCGGCACGGTCCCACTCTCAGCACCAAGGGGGGTTTCAGGGTTCATGGAGGAGGTTAGTGGCCAGGGACTACACCAAGGGTGCCCTGTCCTTGAGCCCCTAGCACGGTGACAAAGCCACATCTCCCTCTCACCAGGGCTGAGCTCAGCTTTGGGGGGGGTCTGGGGTCAGCTTCACCCTGGTCCTGAGGGGCTCAGCTGGTCCTAGGGGTCCCAGCTGGTCCCAGGGTCCCATCCACCTCCTCCCATTTTGAGGTGCAGCCAAGCTGTTGGCAGACCATCCTGCACCACCGAGACCAGTGTCACAGCCACCTTTTCCTTGGGAAAAAAAAACAAAACAACCTTTTCCACCAGCTCCATTTCCCAGGGCAGGGACGCGTGGCCGCCCTGCCGTGCCGGCGGTGCCCTCTGCCAAGGAGACCGGCAGGGAAGGGCTGTATTCTGGGGGGGGAACGAGTCCCTCCAGACCTTCATGGCCACCACAACCCCTTCTTTGATGTCCTAGGAGCCCCCCTGAGCCCCCAGCCCCCACGGGTGCAGGAAAGGGGCTGATTTTGCAGGGGGAATCCCATGGGAGAGATGAACACGAGCTGATTTCCTTGGGATTATTCCCTGCTGCGTGCCTGACATCAAAGCCCCAGCCTTGGGGAGGTCCAGGGGGGGTGAGGGATAGGGGCTGTATCCTGCAGGCATCAGTGGGGAGGTGTAGCAGGGTTCAAACCTCCCAAAACAACATTTTTCCCTCCAGGTCCCCTGCTGGCTTTTCCTCAGGATCTGCGACTATCCCACTCCACAGATGGAGAAACTGAGGCACAGCCCAAGGCTACACATCCACAGAAACAAGAGCCCCCAAACCCAGCTGAGCCCTCCACCCCCTTCCAGGTCCCAGGATGGACCCTACCTTCGGGTAGCACTGGCACATGCTCCAGATGATGCCCACGGCTACGAGCAGGACGCCCAGGGCGCAGAAGGTGATGTAGATCTGGGGTTTTTCCACGCTCATGATGAACATGCCCGTCATCACCAGGAAGAAACCCAGCATGATGAACCCATAGCGAAAGGTCTTCTCCTCGGCCATGGGAGCCGGGTGGGAGAGGCAGGGGAGGAGAGGTGCCCGGGAAGCCCGATCACCTGCGGGTGCCACCGCCGGCTGAGCACACCTGCGGGGTAAGGCGAGGAGTGGTTTCTTTCTCCGGAGGCTGAGGATCAGCTGCACGTTGAGCTCGGTCCTTCCTGCCCAGGGCTGAGCCAGCCAGTTTTTAACGGGTTTGTAATGAATGCAAACACTGACCCGCCGTTCACACTCCAGTGAAGCTGCCCGGCACGTGTCCGGGTAACCTTCCCTGCAGGCACCCTCCCGCACCCCACGCCTCGGGAAGGGAACGGGGAGGGAGAGACGGGCACCTGGAGAGCAGCTGGTTGGTCCTGGTGGGATTTTCCCAGCCCTGGACTTGGCCCATAAGTTTGGAGCTGGCAGAGCCCCAAAATGAAGGGGACGCCCATGATGCAGGATGTTTTCAATGGGCTGCAGCTGGGAAGGAGGGAGCGCTCCATCGTCTTTTTGGAGGCTGGTGGGGTGGGAATAGTCCCTGATTTCTCCAGCTGGGTGCTGCTGGGGAGCCACTGGTGGGGCTGCCTTGGTGGGGCACCCACTGGGCTGCAGAAGCAGGGATAAAGCCAGGGAAAGGTGGAGCAGGATCAGTCCCCCCAGGGAGGGTGAGGGCAGTGTCAGTGTGCCCTGTGGTTGCCTGAGATGGGACAGGGGTCTTAAAATGTGTCCCCTTCCCACCACAGATCTGACAGCAAGGCAGTAGTGGGGGCTTTAATTAACCTTTGGTTTATTCCCTCCTTTGCCTGCTGGTGTATGAATGCATGTACCTGGCTTATGAAAAAGAATATATTATATTATAAATAATATGTTCTCTTTGGCTGTGGCTCCGCAGCCACTCTGCAGAGCTGCAGGGGGTGCGGGGCAGCCCGTTATTTCGGTGGAATGGATAGCAGCCCCCCATGAAGTTGGCCTTTGCTCTGGGCAAGGCTGCAAACCCATCCGTGGTGGGCAGGGAGGGGGGCTGAGCCGCTCAGGGTGTCTTTTCATAGGAGACTGCCTGAAATGCCGAGCGCACTCGGATGCCCTGAACGCAGGCACGAGCCACTGAACATCTCCAGACCAAATGAAGTGAGGCATGGGAAGTCAGGATGGGATGGAGATACAGCTGGAAGGGACATTGCAAAGGCAGAGGAGCAAACAGGGTATTTTTTTCTCTGCCCAGATTCCTCGTTCATTGCTGAAGTTTTTATTATATAGCTCTTGCTTTGGGTGGGCAGCCCCTGGACTCACAGGAACTCCCCAGGGTTGGTCCGAGGACGGAATACAAAGCTTCAGCAACCAGCAGTGGTTTTATTAAAAACACGAAGGCTTTCAGACATGCCAGTTACCCCCCGCCGCTCCGAAAGCATCACCCACAGGACCCACAATCCCAACAGCCCCCAACGGATCGCTCGGAGAGCCGGAGGGACCCCTCTGCCTTCCCCCTCCTCGCCCACCCTCCTCTCGCCCTGGCACAATGGAAGGGGCTCGGTTCAAAGCCAAGGGCCACCTGCAGGGTCTCATCCCCCCACCGCCGCCAGCTCAGACACCCCGCACACTGATGTTTTCGTAGCTGGGGGGAGGTGTTTCCTGCGGCTCCTCGGGGTGCTGGGTCTCCAGCCAGGACGGGCTGGGGCGGAACAAGGCGCTGTCGGAGGAGCTGCGCCGGCGGCCACCCTGCCAGCTGCCCTCCTCCTCCAGGTAGCGGTACAGGGGCGGTGTGAGCTCCTCCTTCCTCCCCGGGGGATGGACATATGCTGGAGCAACGTGAGCAGGTCTGCAGGTCAGGGCTTCTTCATAGGTGGGGATGGCGCTGGCATCCCAGGTGCTGCGAGGGAAGAGGAAGAAACCCAGCAGTGCCACGTCAACCAGAGCATCCCAGCATCCATCAACCAGAGCATCCCAGCACCCATCAACCGGAGCGCCCCAGCACCCCATCAACCAGAGCGTTCCAGCACTCATGAACCAGAGCATCCCAGCACCCAAAACCTGGAGCATTCCAGCACCCATCAACCAGAGCATTCCAGCATTCCATCAACCAGAGCATCCCAGCACCATCAAACAGAGCATCCCTGCACCAATCAACCAGAGCACCCCATCAACCAGAGCATCCCTGAGCATGGTGGACATGGGGATGGCACATGAGCAGGTTTTTCATGCTAGGGTCAAGGGAAGTCCATGTCAGCCACCTCCTGGCACTGGGAAGGCGGGGAGCCGTGCAGGAGGAAGGGCACCATCCATCAGACCTTGTGACAAGGCAATGTCTCCTGGTTCCCACTGAGTTTATGAACCCCCTCACCCAAGCAGAGGAAGGGCAGCCTGGCAAGGCAGCCTCAAAGATCTGCCACCGCCACCACTAAGGGCTACAACTCCAGGTGTGAATGGCCACAAAGCAGCAGAGGTGCTGGCTCTCGAGGCATCTGCCCCTTCCCTCTGCACCGTGCTGCTTTCCGTGGGCAGGAGACCATCCTCATCATCTGCCTAACCCCAAAGCCACCCCCCCTGTGAAGGAGTGGCAGCCAAGTGAGCAGTTTGGCACCAGCAGCCAGGCATCCTGGTTCAATGTGGTCACACCCCACCCTCGTGCCCGCCGGAGCCCTCCAGGCACCGGCCAAGCCTGGTGGCACTTCCAGCAGTGCTCTGCTGAGCAAACACGGATTGTGTACAGGGAAAACCTCCAGCCAACCTTTGCCCTGCGCACAGCCCTGGGTGCAGCCCCAAAGATGGGAAGGCTTTGGAAGGAACCCACCGTCCGCTGGCTTTTGCAGAGGACAACCCAGCTCAGGGAGGCTGGAAGGGCATGGCTGGTCCAAAGGGATGCCTCCATCCCCATCTCAGCAGCTCCTTACCCTTGACCCACCACTCTGGGCGTCTGTGCTGTGGCTTTGGCCAGACAGCTTCAGCTTGGAAAGGGATTTGGAAAGGGATGCTGCCTTGGAAATGCAGAGAGGGGGGGTGTCTCCCAGCGCAGGATGTCACCCTGCCAACCCTCTGGGGAGCAGCATTTTCTGCTCTGGAGGGCTTTGCTGTGCAAATGCCAGCACAGCCAGGGCTGCAGGAGCTGCCACAGCCCCAGCAATGCCAGGGCGATGCCCTCCCATCCAGCATGGGAACTGGGAGCTCAGGGAAGGGGACATTCCCTGTGGGGGACACAGCAAAGGCCTCCATGGGAGGAGGAACGCCCCCCCTGCCCCAAGACCTCCCAGACCAGCTCACAACCGTGCCCCCAGATATTCAGATGGGCACCGAAACCCCTGGAGAACCAGAAACGTGCCTCCTGCCCCGACTGAATTTTTATGGTTTCATGTTCTGAAGAGTTTCTTTTAGTGCTGCTTTTCCCCAGAGCCCGATTTATGCTGGAGCCAAGGTCTTTGCTGTGACCCCATAAAACTGCACTGGGAAGGGCCGCCTGGCTCAGCTTCCACAGCAATCTCTGGAAAAAAAAAAAAACAACTCACCCTTTTGATCCAGAAACTTTTAAATGAAGAAGTGGGAATGAATCTCAGGCTCACACAGGAAGAGTCCAGAGACCCCACAAGCAGCAGTGGTGTTTGGGTGGTAGGTGAGGGGTCTTCCCACACCCCAAATTGGGCTTCATAGCAGGTTCCTTCACCTGCACTCCCATCTCAATGCCAATCAGAGGATTTTTTTCCCTCTTTTTTTCTTTTAACCCCCTTTTTTAACATAGATTTTGCTTCCATTAAAGATGGCACAAACCCCCTCATCCTTACAGAGCGCTCCAGACCTGAGCCATCGGGGCAGGTTTCAACCGCTGGAGGTCTGGGTGACCTCCCCACCCCCAAATCCAGACCTTCTGCCAGAAAACCGATGCGGTCTTCTGCTCAGTGGCTCTGCTAAGGAGATGTCTGCCTCAGCCCGTGATGGCCCTGCAGGGCAAGGAGAACCGTCTGCTGTGGGAGCAGCCAGCGTGGGCACGGAGGGTGCCTGCAGCGAGGGCAGGTTGGAGGGGCTTGGGTGAAGGTTGACGTTAATGAGGAAGAACATCTGCTCGGGGAGGAGGAGGAGGAGAGCACAGCACGGGGGCTGAGCAGGATTACAGTAACGGGGGTTACTGCTCACCTCAGCGAGCCAGCCTGAGAGCAGGGGTAGGTGCACGGCCACACCGGGATGGTCAAACCCACCCTTGACTTCTTCACACCCAAGAAGTCAAGGGTGGAAGTGGCACCCACCTGCGGTTCCACTTCTCCAGCGGCTCCGCCGTGAAGTACTGCAGGTCCCTGGGGAAATGGTACTGGTAGCGGCGGGACACCACCCTGGCGTTGGCCTTCACCGACCAGAGGAGGCCGAAGAGGAGGAGGATGCCACCGATGCCGCAGCAGAAGAAGCTGACGGAGCGGAGCAGGGCGCTGGAGGAGGAGCTGGGAACAGCCTCGGCTTCCCGGGGAGGCAGGAGGCGAGCCCCGCTGCTGGCCGAGGAGCCCACCTCCCCATCGCTCCACCAGGCAAAGCACAGCGTCCCCGTCACCAGCAGCACCGCCCCGGTGATGGTCATGCCGTAGCGGAAAGAGGCAGCTGCCATCCTTCAGAAGGAGGTTTTAGGTAAGGTGGGAAGAGTAAGACAAGGCATGAGAGGGCCCACGTCCTGCAAGACAAGAAAGAGACCAGGTCTGAGCAGGACAAGGTGATGGAAGACCTGCCAGAGGAGAAAACTACTGAGTTAGGAGCTCTCTGGGGGTCGCACACTCTTCAGCTACTTATTATTGACCATCGGAAGGGGCATTTCCACCACCTCAGATGGGAAGCCCTCGGGCAGAGCAAAGTCAGCCGCCAGTCTGGACTCATGAACTTCCTAAAACCTCCTAAAAACATCCTCGTTTTCAAGAAGCAACGGGGGCAGGATGGAGAGCCCAGCCAGGGGAGCTACAGAGGCGGCTCCGGGAACTTGCACAGCTCTTGCCTTTGGGTTTTCTTCCAGACTTCCTCCCGAGCTCGGAGGGAAGCCAGCTGGGTTTCTGATCAAAGCAGGG